TATGGTGTCAGGTGGGGAGGTGGTTGTATGGTGTGAGGTGGGGAGGTGGTTGTATGGTGTGAGGTGGGGAGGTGGTTGTATGGTGTGAGGTGGGGAGGTGGTTGTATGGTGTGAGGTGGGGAGGTGGTTGTATGGTGTGAGGTGGGGAGGTGGTTGTATGGTGTGAGGTGGGGAGGTGGTTGTATGGTGTGAGGTGGGGAGGTGGTTGTATGGTGTGAGGTGGGGAGGTGGTTGTATGGTGTGAGGTGGGGAGGTGGTTGTATGGTGTGAGGTGGGGAGGTGGTTGTATGGTGTGAGGTGGGGAGGTGGTTGTATGGTGTGAGGTGGGGAGGTGGTTGTATGGTGTGAGGTGGGGAGGTGGTTGTATGGTGTGAGGTGGGGAGGTGGTTGTATGGTGTGAGGTGGGGAGGTGGTTGTATGGTGTGAGGTGGTTGTATGGTGTGAGGTGGGGAGGTGGTTGTATGGTGTGAGGTGGGGAGGTGGTTGTATGGTGTGAGGTGGGGAGGTGGTTGTATGGTGTGAGGTGGGGAGGTGGTTGTATGGTGTGAGGTGGGGAGGTGGTTATATGGTGTGAGGTGGAGAGGTGGTTGTATGGTGTGAGGTGGGGAGGTGGAGGAATGTAGGGCTTAAGATAGGGAGGTGGTGGTGTTTGGTGTACGGTTGGGGATGGGGTGTGTGGTGTAAGGTATGATATCTGCCATGTTGATGTGTGAGTGGTAGTGTTGTTGGGTGGGGTGTGTGTGTGGTGGTTGAGTGGTGGTTGAGTGGAAAAAGGTCACTAGAAAAAAAAAGTCACAGAAATAAAGTCACGGGTTTCGCTAAATAACAAAGTAACAAAAGAAAAAAAAAAGAAAGAAAAAAATTATCAACGATAAATGTTAAATATTAAAAGTAGACTTAATGTGTCGTTTTTTTCTCAAGTAAATTCATATATAAACTTTATAAACGTTCGAGGATTAATTGTAATAGTCTGACTACCACAAGTAAAAATAATTACGTTAAATTAATAGCAGCCTCAAATTGGGTTAAATAATTACGTGATTACCTGTAAAAAAATAATTGTATAAAGTGAGTAAAAAGTGTGTTAACAAACAATAGAGTAATTTACGATAGTTGTATTTGGCTTTGATTTAGCCGTAGGTCTTTCCTTCATTAGGCGTGTCCGTCCACACTTTATGATATGAACGTTTAGTGTCGATTTCGGCCATTGTACTCTGTCGGCCTTTGTACCGAGTCGGCCTTTTGCTTTGATCCTATGGTTTGTGGTGTAATATGGACAGCAATCTTATTTGAAATATTGTTGTGGTGAATTGGTGATAGCAAGTTAAATTAACGTGTCATCTTTCCATTTCGCGCTAATGCAATTAAAGTTTGTGCTAAAAAAATAACACGATGAAACAGATTGAGTAGATTAGGACTTGTGATTACACGTTGAATAATATATACCTAAATACCTGCAAAGACACATTGTTTTACAAGTGGTATAAATATAACCTTACCATCACACCTAACGTGTAAATATCTAATATATTTTCATTAATGTAAATTACATGTATATCAATTTACATATTCTGAATACGCAATAAATATACTTATAAGCTAACCCCATGCAAATACAAATGTGTGACATTACATTTTTCCAATGACATTTTTGTGCGACGTCTGCTCCTATAATCGTACAGTGCCAGTTTAGGCACCCAGAAGCTGTTGTACCAACCCAACAAAGTAGAATTATATACAAAATAAATAGGGCCTACTACAAAAAATGTCCCCCCCCCCCTCCCACGAAAGTATCATGTGACTCCCTCCACCCCCCCCCCCCCCACCCCCCCGGAGAGAAATGTCTGTAAAGATACCCTGAACCTTTTAGCCTCGGGTCATCTTGTCGGGTGTCGCATTCACCTCGTCATTAGAGACTAGGGGTTTGGTGTTAGGTTACACATTTACGCTCTTTGTGTGTGTGGGGGGGGGGATAGGGTGTCCTGGCAGGTATAACACACCTGTCAAATCACACACAGACGTTGTGTGGCTGAGACACAACACACCCCTTCAGTGTGTACATTGTTTTTTTCGGTGATCATCAGTGGCGTAGCTATGGGAGGGTGGGTTAGGCGCCCCCCCCCCGGGCGCCAACCTTAAGTGGGTGCCAAAATGGGTGGAAAAAAAAAGTTTAAAAGACCATTTTAAGCTACGATATTGAATTAAATCCAATCATAATTTACTTTGGACATCGACGGTAAAAGATGATTAATTTAGACAAGTTGGCAGCCTATACTATTAACATACTGATAAAAATCATGCAAAAATATATTTTTAATTTTTTTTTTTCGTAAACCGAAACCCCAGTTGGCCGTCTTTGAATTAACATATCAATATTCCTCATGTGTTGGATTTCGATGTTTTAATTTAAAAAAAAAAAAAAGCTGTTATTTAGTCAGTCTGTGTGGGTCAAAGCGGGCTGCCTCTGACGCCGATTATTTGCTAAGCTACTCACTTAGTTATCATTTGCATCCGCCTATGTATGTCAAGCTTAGATTAAAAATATACCAATGGTAGTATGACACGTATCATTTATGAACCGACTAGACCTTTGTAATGTTCTCGCTGTGGAATTTTAATTAATTAATGAATAGTTTAATTCATTAAATGTGTGGATCAATTGTGTAATGTTCCATTCAATGTTATATCCTATTTTACTTGTCACACAGAAGATTTTTTAACTGTAATTTACAAAAGACGAAGTGTACGGCCATGTTAGGTAGTTTATAATGTGACGTATAGCCAAGTTCACTAGTGATGTAATAGACGGCCGTCATTGCTAGTTTTAACTGACGTAGTAGACGGCCAATATTTCTAGTTTAAAAAGTGTCGTAATGGACGATCTTTAAAAACTAGGTTCACTGTAGAATTAGTGGACGGCTGTTCTAGCTATTCTACCAAGTGACGAAATGGACGGCCGTTACAGCTTTTCTAACAAGTGCCGTAATATATGACTGCTATACCCACGTTATTCTAGCTGCATTGTTAGAAAGAACGTTAGTTTAAGGTGTTCCCTTTGAATCCAGTTTGTGATATAAATGAAATAACCAGCATACCTGTGTAATAAAAGCAATAGGATTTATAGTCTTATAGAGACTGAGCTTTACTTACAACAAAATGAGTTTCCTGTCTAATCCCTGTTTGAATAAGTACAGATGCAAATATTTTTCTGGCGGATAAAATATTCATATCTGATTCAACTGATTCACGAGCAAATAAAATATTCAAACCTGATTCAACTGATTCACGAGCAAATAAAATATTCATACCTGATTCAACTGATTCACCAGCAAATAAAATATTCATACCTGATTCAACTGATTCACGAGCAAATAAAATATTCATACCTAATTCAACTGATTCGCGAGCAAATAAAATATTCATACCTAATTCAACTGATTCACGAGCAAATAAAATATTCATACCTGATTCAACTGATTCACGAGCAAACTGTACCAGCCGTCCATTACCTCAATAATTAATCTAGCAGTAATGGCCGTCCATGACCTTAATAATTAATCTAGCCTTAATTGCCGTCCATTACTTCACATTTAGCTATATAACCTGAGTGAGTTCTGATTTACAATGCATTTAAATTCCACATTGGCTTAAAATATTAAAACGCATTTTATCTCTGCGGATTCTAATCAGAACGTCATGGGCGGTGCCACTATCATTATACCTGCGGTTATAACTGCTTCTTCAAACAGTACAACTTATCCAGGGCGCCGGGAGGGGTCGATCCGACTCTGCTGGTCATGTAAATACAATCGACCCACCACAAACTTTACCTGCTGTATTTGATCAAGCATACAGAACGTTAGGTTTGTTTACCCGCGTGTAATTCAATTACCGCAAGTTTTTTTTTTCTTTTTTTTTTTTTTTTTTTTTTTTTTTTTTAAATTTTTTTAACCCTAGCTATTACGACACAGTAATCACGCAGTTGACATTGTTCAAAGTTTCGCCGAGTCAGGAGAGAGATAGGGTTAGTCTAGACAACCCGAACGTAAAGGGGGCGAGATATGTACAGGAGTTGTAACGTAGACACAAAGGTCATTGTGCTAAACCAATGTCTGAAAAGCCCACCCCACCCCGTGTAGGCTGGAGGGTTGGTTAGCTTGGTGGTTGGTTTAGTGGTTGACTGGTTAGGTTGGTGACTGGTTAGCTGGGTGGTTGGTTTAGTGGTTGACTGGTTAGGTTGGTGACTGGTTAGCTGAGTGGTTGGTTCAATGGGTGTTTGGTTAGTTAGGTGGTTGGTTGGTTGGTTGGTTGTGGTAATGCTGTAACTTTTCTTGTCACTTTTTACCTGTCAATTTTTACCTGTCAATTTTTACCTGTCAATTTTTACCTGTCAATTTTTACCTGTCAATTTTTACCTGTCAATTTTTACTGTTGCTTTTTAACCGTCTACATGTTCGCCACAGTTCAACTGAATGAGAATTTGTTTTTACCGTTCCCATAAAAAATAAACTTAATCCTGGCTCAAGCCCGGCTCAACCCTAGCTGTGTGATTATGTAGTTTTAACCCCTGGTAGTAAATTAAAACTTTACCGTTTTGAAACTTAACTCAGACAATACCTCTAGCTATGACTTCAGACATAAAAATGGAAGAATTGTTCTTGTTAAATGTCATTGTTAAATTGTAGTTAATTATTCTAAATTAAAAATAATTCGAAGTAAAAAAAAAATAATTTTGGGTAGGGGGAACTACTCTTTATTTTCTCGACAGGGAGATAATCACCTGAAAATCAAATTTAAATCTCCATTTGTTTTTTAAAATCAGATACATAATTATTTGTATTTTCTTTTTTAATAAATCATTTAAAAATATTGTTGATGTATAAACTATTTTATGTATTTGCTTGAAATCGAGCAAAATAGTAAAATCGAGGTTTTACACCTTCCGGAGTCTAAAAAAATATGCTAGATTGCATTGTCTTTAATATTGTGTTCTTCCACAGATGACGTCATTGTCAAGAAAAAGTGCAGCGGCCATTGCTGCAATCTTGACCGTGGTCTTGGTCATCTCGATCAAGTACATGGGTAAGTGTGACACAACCGATTTAACCATAGCATTTTGTGGGTAGGTGTGACACAACCGATTTAACCATAGCAATGTGTGGGTAGGTGTGACACAACCGATTTAACCATAGCATTAAAATGGTTAGGTATGACACAACCGATTTAACCATAGCATTAAAATGGTTAGGTATGACACAACCGATTTAACCAGAGCATTGACATGGGTAGGTGTGAAACCACCGATTTAACCATAGCATTGTGTGTGTAGATGTGACACAACCGATTTAACCATAGCATTGTGTGGGTAGGTGTGACACAACCAATTAACCAATTTAACCATAGCATTTTGTGGGTAAGTGTGACACAGCCAATTTAACCATAGCATTAACATGGGTAGGTGTGACACAACCGATTTAACCATAGCATTGTGTGGGTAAGTGTGACACAACCGATTTAACCATAGCATTAACAAGGGTAGGTGTGACACTAGTATTGACACGGGTAAGTATGAGACAACCGATATAGCACTAACATTTACATGGGTACATATGACACAAAAGAAATGAGTTTGACTCGGTTTATTTGACTGACATTTACACGGGTAAGTGTGCTGGTGTCTCATAGGCATGGGTAAGTATGACTCTTCCATCCTTTTGAACGTGATATACACACCGATGTGTACAATAGTAATTGACATTGACGCGTTCTGTTTTAACAATAACTGTAGTAATAAAAAAAACTCAACAGCATGTTTTAAGCTCGGTAAAAAAAAAATCTAAATTTGTAATCATTCCTGAGCCGAAGGGACTTATGAGAACAGGTTTTCGAAAAATAAATTATAATCTACAGGACCTACTACCCCACCCCCATCAATCAACCCCCGACCCCTCTCTTGTTTAATCTTAAAGTTGCATGTCTTTTTTTTTATGTTGGTGATTGTCTAGCTACTGTGTTGGTGTAAAATAACTAAACTGGTGTTACACATCTTAGCCTTAACTCCCACCCATCAGCACCCACCCCCACCTCCACATCACCTCCACACCACCACACCACCACCACCTCCACACCACCACACCACCACCACCTCCACACCACCACCACACCACCCTATCTCCACACCACACCAACACACCTCCCCACCTCCACACCCCACCTCCACACCCCACCACCCCACCTCCACACCCCACCACCACACCACCACCGCCTCCACACCACCACCACACCACCCTACCTCCACACCCCACCACCCCACCTCCACACCCCACCACCCCACCTCCACACCCCACCACCCCACCTCCACACCCCACCACCCCACCTCCACACCCCACCACCCCACCTCCACACCCCACCACCCCACCTCCACACCCCACCACCCCACCTCCACACCCCACCACCCTACCTCCACACCCCACCACCCCACCTCCACACCCCACCACCCCACCTCCACAACACACCACCCCACCTCCACACCACCCCACTACCCAAACACCCTCTAACCACACAAACCCACCACCACACCACCCCACTACATCACAGCACCTAAACAATAAACAATAGGCCTCAAGTTGCGTCTTATAATGTTAAACTACGCTTTATTATAATAATCCACAAGGAAAAACCTCTCTTATTCCTCACAGCAAGCCTTAAACGGCGAACCATGAACTAATCTCTGGGACTCCATATAATATTTACAACCGCTTCTCCCCCTGCCCTCCCTCACCCCACCCCCTCGCCCCTCAAAATCTCGTATTTCATTCTGTTTCAACATTGTCATGCACTGCTACGCATGACTGCACACATAAACCCAAGGAGGAAAAAACCTACGACAATGGGCTTATTAGATTTAAGATATAGAATTATCTGCTTAACGGTCGGAGTTTTAGCGAGGTTCAGGGCTGTGGGGGGTGGGGGGGGGGGCTGTGTCATTAGGGTAGGGGAGGGGGTATATTATGGTATAGTTATTCCATGTAGCTACTGGAATCGTTCTACAGGTATGTGCGTGTTGCACATAATGGGTACAGTTAGAGATGGGTGTTGTGTCTAGTGAGTTGTGTCTAGAAAGACCACGAGGTCATGTGACCTATTCGGCAGTTTGCTTCAGGCACCTTTTCGGGAGTGCACTGCCCCCCCCCCCCCCCAGTGACACGTCTACCACCATCTGTTTGTTGTTATATACTGATTGTACCCCAGCCTAAGGCTAGGCAACTCAGCTAGTCGTAGGTTCATGTTTCACCTGTTGTCATTCAAAAGCCTACTCTAAAACCCATATTTGTAATGTGTCTAAAAATATATATACTAAAAAAACAAAAATGTCCTGATATATAATTCTAGACGTATGTGGTAGTGTATAACAGAAAATATTTGATATGTTTTACGTTATACCAACCAAATGTGTGTAACAACCAGTGGCGTAGGCAGGGGGGGGGTCATAACCCCGCCCCTCAAGATCCCTCGGTATATATATAAAAAGTTTGAGCGGGGGTGCAAATCGAAAGTTTGAGGGGGGGGGGTGCAAATTGAAAGTTTGAGGGGGGGGGTGCAAATCGAAAGTTTGAGGGGGTGGGCGCAAATCGAAAGTTTGAGGGGGGGGTGCAAATCGAAAGTTTGTCCCCGGGTAACAATTGGAACCACCCCCCCCCCCTTGAGACGATCCTGGCTACGCCACTGGTAACAACCCTACCTTTAGAGTGTAATCTATCATCATGCCTATAGCCAGGCACTACCCCGCACTGTTAGAGGACGATCTAAAACGGATGTAGATTGTAGATCACGGGTTCCCAACCTGGGGGTCGCGACCCCCCTGGGGGTCGCGACCCCCCTGGGGGTCGCGAAGGTCTTTCTGGGGGGTCGCCAACTGGTATACTAAACCTTAGTAATTTGAAACAAAACATACATATTTAGAAGAATTTTTGAAATTCGGCTTCATAAACATCACTGGAAATGTAATAGAGAAGAAACAAAGCGCACTGTACAGACTGTTCTCAGTCACGAATCTATGAAATCTTCAAAACTAAAAAGTCATTTGAGACGAGCCATTCGGAACACACCAAAAAAATATATGGAGTTCTTTCGTCGGTAAGAAGCTAGTTGCAAACGTCAGAGACTTGATTGAACATGAAGTTTTCACCAGCATTAGTGCAAGCATCAAATGAAGTCGCGATAGAAAATGCCAAGCAAAAAAAAAAAAAACAATAGGAGACAATCTCATCAAACGCTACATGTACATAAATGTTAAATAACACATTTTTATTGAAAAAACAAGCTTTCACCATTGTTTGCTTTTCGAGTTGATAAATCAACAGACGTGAGTTCGTGTTCGCAGTTGCTGGTCTGTGTCTATATTCATGCGGATGATAGCAAAGAAGAGTTGCTCTTTTGTGAAGATAGCATGGAGAAAATAAATACTTTTTTTTAAAAACTGGATGATTAAAATGGGTTAGAACGGCTGTGGGGGTTTGTACGGATGGTGCGCCATCTATGTTTAGCTCAAAATCGGGCTTTCAGAAAACAGAAAAGATTTAGCTCCCTAACCACTGCCCTAACCAATCGACATCAATAGTCCATTGCTAGTATAAGTCGTAAATTATATAAAATCTGGAGCCTTCAAAGAACTGAGCAAAAACATTAATATAGATCACGAGGTTCTGCTCTTCTACACTACAGTACACTGGCTGTCAAACGAAATGTTGTAAATTGTGTTTTTGAATTGAAATCTGAAATCGAATTGTTCTTGGGAGTGCAAAAGAAACAAGACTTTTTGGTATACTTAAAACGACATAGATTGGTTGGAGTGAGTATCATACCTAGCAGATGTATTCGAACATCAACATAAGCTTAACCTGAAGCTTCAGATAAAATGAACGAATATTATAACTTGCCATGATAATCTCGGGGCATTTTTATCAAAGCTGCAAAATCGGTAAAGAAAACAAATCTTGGAAATGTTGTAAATTTGAGAAACTCTGCGGTGTGGTAGATCAATCTGATTGTGAGATAATTAAAATTTTGAAAGAAGCGATTTCTGGGCATTTTGAATCTCTTGAAGACGAACTGCAATGCTATTTCTCTGAGCTGAAAAAAGAGGAATCTGCATTTACGCATTACCCATTCTCTTCTTCCCTTGATGTTGCCAGCATTCCCGATGAATTACAAGATGAATTCTTTGATTTGCAGAATGATTCCGAGTAAGATGAAAAACTGCAGACACAATTTTGGTGTAGTATTCACCATTCATACCCAAACGTAAAATTGATTGACTTTTCGAGAATATATTTTCAACACTATTCTTCTATTAAAAACAAAATTAAGACATAGGTTGGCGTTAACAAAAAATTTTTAAATTTAAAAACTTAACCACGAACGTTTAGTGAATAGTATGCAATTTTGCTCATGCTATTAAAACAGTTATCAAGAGTAGTTCATATTGAAAGTCTACTAGAAAATCTTATTTTAGTGCTCATTAATTTCCATACTAATTTCGGCTTTTTAATTCTATGGGGGTCGCGGGTCACTTACTTTTTATAAAAGGGGGTCGCCACTCGAAAAAGGTTGGGAACCACTGTTGTAGATTATAGCATCAAACAAGTTTAAAACAAACACTTTGGCCGATAGCAATATAGTTTGAGACAGGAATAGATTATAGCATCAAACAAGTTTAAAACAAACAATTGGGCTGATAGAAATATAGTTTAAAACTACGGCTGACTATGGTAGATACGTACACTCAGACTGAAGGTAATGACGCGACAGAACAAGGAAATAAGTTGCTATCAACACGATTGTGGGGTGGGGTGGAGGGGAGGGAATTTGTTCCGCTTTTATGGGCTGTTTAATATATTTTTACTGGAGTTAGCTAGCATTTTGTGTTTTTAAAGTTTATAGTGTTTTAACATCGATTTAATTTAGTTTTATTCAGTAAAATTGTGTGGGTTTTTGGCTTTTGCTCCTAAATTATAGGTTTTATGTTGTTGAGTTAAATTTGTTTTTAACTTTCAGGTGTATTTGACTTTTACATTAATTCTTTAGATGAATTTGACGTATATTTTGTAAAATTTGGTAGGTTTGACGTTTATTTTTTTTTTTTTAATTTGAGGTGGGTTTGACAGTTATGTTTAAATTTGTAGATGCATTTGGCTTTTGTTTTCAAATAGTTTAAATAGTCAGTGGTTTTAATTTTCATTTTGAAATTTCAGGCGGGTTTGAATTGTTGTCCAGTAAATCTGAAGAGAGCAAAGAGTCCAAACGGAGCAGTGATGACGTTTTGAAGGTCGTCAAGGTAGGTCAAGGACATACACGTGACAGGATGTTTACATGGGGGGGGGTTCACAATTTTAAACCGTTTCTGTTACAATATTTTCATTTTAACAATATTTTTTCTGTCAATTAGCAATAATTTTCAGTTAATTAACATCATTATTTCAGTCTACTGTTTAAGCGTATATATTCTATTTTTAGCCATGACTTAACAGTTAAGCTATGGTACCTGATTCGACTTTCCCATCACTCTAGAAATTTTATCCTGTATCATTTTTATTTAAATTAAAATATGTCACGTGACGTCTATTTATAACTTCCCAGGAAAAGGTCAACAATGAGCACTCTATGACCATAGTGACGTTGTTCGTCCCCATGGGTACATTCCAGAAGGGAGGGGGAGGTAACTTCTACACAGTGGACAAGTACAAGAACTGGATGCTGACCTACAGCTGGCTGACCAACAAGGTCGTCGCTTTCTTCACTGACGAGGAATCTCTGCAGTATTTTAAGTAGGTTTCAGCCCGTGCGGTGACTGTTTTACAGATTTCCGATAACTGATTTCGCGCTGAATTATATTACAGCTAGATTCAAGAATACGAACATTTTAAGTTACGAAAATGTAATATTATAAGCGTTTTATATTACGAACTTTTAAGAGCGTTTTATATTGAAAGCTTTTAACGTAACTAAGATTGTTTAAAACAATTCATTTTTACGAACGTTTCATGTTACGAATGTTTCATGTTGCGAACGTTTTACGTACGAAATGAAGAAGTAGAGTTCCACGTTTCCGTAGCTTAGGCATAAAAAAAAAAGATGATGTGGTAAAATCTAACTTCAGCCGATTTTACCTTTCCCGAGACTAGTCTATTACCAATTAGAGCTTGGTGGACTCTTGACGTCTTAGCGACTCTACCACAAATCTGTCAACTTTTGGTCTAAAATCTCTACCCTGCTCCCGTGTCCCCAGGAAAATGCGAGAGGCCCAGCCAGCTGACCGCACGATCCTCATCAAACTGGACAGCTCCCAGCTCGACGCCTTCAAGAACTACGAGACCGTCAAGAGCATCTTCGCGGCGCCCGACTACCCCAAGCACCACCCCAACACCGTCAACGCCAACTACTCCATCGTCATGAACGCCAAGTACGACGCCCTGCAGATGGCCATGGATATGGGTCACGTGGACACGCCCTACATCGCCTGGCTGGACATTGGGACGTTTCGGTAAGTGGACACGCCCTACATCGCCTGGCTGGACATTGGGACGTTTCGGTAAGTGGATACGCCCTACACTGGACATTGGGACACGCCCTACACTGGACATTGGGACACGCCCTACACTGGACATTGGGACGTTTCGGTAAGTGGATACGCCCTACATCATTTGGCTAGACATCAGCACGTTTCGGTTAGTGGACACACCTACACTGGACATTGGGACGTTTCGGTAAGTGGGCTAGTAATTATTGCATAGCTGAATATTTGGACGTTCCGGTATGTGGGCTAGGAATTATTGCATAGCTGAATATTTGGACGTTCCGGTATGTGGGCTAGGAATTATTGCATAGCTGGACATTGGGACGTTTCGGTAAGTGGGCTAGTAATTATTGCATAGCTGGATATTGGGACTTTTCGTTAAGTGGGCTAGTAATTATTGCATAGCTGGATATTGGGACTTTTCGTTAAGTGGGCTAGTAATTATTGCATAGCTGGATATTGGGACGTTTCGGTAAGTGGACTTCATCAACTGCAATATTGGAGCGGGTTTTGGGCATTTGTGAAAATTGGAGAGTGGACTTCGTCAAGGAAATATTTTACCAGTTAGATGGTCGATACACAGTGTATAAGACAGTCTAATGTTTTCGACCGAGTTAATTATTCAAAGATGGCGAAAATGTCAACTAAAAATATTAGCTCGACAAGTCAAAAACGTGTTTTCTTTTACGTGTATTTGTATAACGTGAAGATTAGGCTATAGCTTAATACATCTTCCGATCACGTTGTGTTTAGGTGTTACGGTTAGGTTAGTGTTATGACAAGTTTTTTTTAATTTTATTCTAGTGTCAGTCAACCATTGCCTGGTTGTAGAGTAAAGAGTGTCAGTGGATCATTGGACTCCTATACGCCTCTATTTTTGTTTTGTAATTTTCATTTATAAATTAAGTTTTATTTATATATTTTTTTTAAGAATTCATCAACCGAAAAAAAAAACAGCAAAAAACTACAACAGTTTTAGCGCATGTACCTAAGTGACATCAGTGAATTGAAACTGATCTACATCGTTTTTATTCAGATAAATCGCATTGCTTTACATAATTTTAATTATATAAGGTTGGAATGTGGGATACAGGTACTGTAGCAGGCGGGTTAATTAAAGCCGGATTATCTTGAGTCGGATTTCCAATAAGTTACGACCTTCTATTTTGATATTAGCTACAGCAGTTTACATCTATCTTTGTAAGCGTGAGTTTAGAAGTCTGGGCATTGCATTCATGACCGGCGACGCATGTTCTGACTGGCGACGACGCAGGTTCTGACCGGCGACGCAGGTTCTGACTGTGGCGACGCAGGTTCTGACTGTGGCGACGCAGGTTCTGACCGGCGACGCAGGTTGTGACTGTGGCGACGCAGGTTCTGACTGTGGCGACGCAGGTTCTGACTGGCATTAGACGCTACGCAACTTGAGTACTGGTGACTCCGTGTACGACTGGTGACTCCGTGTATGACTGGTGACTCCATGTATGACTGGTGACTCCATGTATGACTGGTGACTACGTGTACGACTGGTGACTCCTTGTATGACTGGTGACTCCGTGTATGACTGGTGACTCCATGTATGACTGGTGACTCCGTGTATGACTGGGGACTCCATGTATGACTGATGACTCCGTGTATGACTTGTTACTTAGTGTCACAACATGTGATAAAGTCCATTAAGGCAAGTTTTCCTCCGGAAGCTGTGGTCTAAATCTGTCACGCATAACCTAAGACCAAGTGATCTACATCCCATCTCTAAAGCTTGGCCTTAGCCTAATGGTGCACAACTAAAAATACACGGTTAATTAAATTTTAAATAAAAAATTACTTATTGATTAATATTTCTTTACCAGCCGAACGAGGTGTGTGCTAATTTTATTTTTAAAAATCCGATTTCTGTTAAAGGTTTTGAGATGACTGTCTGCATAACGTGTGGAGTAATCGATTGATGAAACGCGCTGTCGTCTTGGACACGATACTTTCTATGGCAAATCTTTCTTTGTGGTGTCGTGTGCCGCGGTATGGGAGCTCTGTGTGTGTGTGGCATATGTGTGTGTGTGTGTGGCAGAGGTGTGTGTGTGACAGATTTGTGTGCGTGTGTAAGGCAGATCTGTGTGTGTGTGTGTTCGTGGCAGATCTCTGCGTGTGTGGCAGAGGTGTGTGTGTTGCAGCTCTGTGTGTGTTTCAGATATGTGTGTGTGGCAAATCTCTGTGTGGCAGCTATCGACTATTGCCTCGTCCCAGACTCAAGGTTTGCATTAGCTGACTAAATAGACGTTTGTTTACATTGGGTTTATAAAATGATGCACCAAAACGTCATCAATGGATTGATTCGATTTTTTTTTAAATTGGGTTTATAAAGGTTATCCAAAAAAGTCATCGATAACTGGGGGTTTTGTTGCCGTTCTTTGCTACTTTTGTCAAGTGATGAATTTTACCGTTGGTATTGTATTAGAAGTTAGCTAGTAGACCAATAGGAAGTTACATGGTAGGCAAGAGAAATTATACGGTAGGCCAGAGAATGTTATACGTATGGAAATTTAAAGTTACAATTAGACAATAGAAAATAACATGCTAGGTAAGAGAAAATGTCACATTGTGTAAGTGTTGTAATGTCTTGTACCTGACATTGAGATTACATGTCATGTTGGTAGTTGATGACGTAATATATGCATTATATACTTTACTTTTTATATGCTTATACAATATAAAGATTGTCCTGTAGATAACCTTGACCTTTGATGCTGAGTCTGCCCTCCCCTCCCCAGCAACCTCGTGGACATGCGTCCCCCCAACAACACGTTCACCCTGGAGGTACCGGACGGGTTCGACAATGCCAAGGTCGCCTTCACGGAGGTCACGCCCCACGACCAGCTGAAGGACACCAGCCCCTGGGACTACATCCGGTCAAACCACGTCTGGGTGGCGGGCAGCTTTCTCTTTGGTACCACACAGGTGGGTGGGGAACTGGGTGGGTGGGGGACAGGTGGGTGGGGCAGCTTTCTCTTTGGTACCACACAGGTGGGTGGGGGACAGGTGGGTGAGGGGGGGGGGGGGTGGGGGACAGGTTTCGGGGAGCTTTCTCTTTGGTACCACACAGGTGGGTGGGGAACTGGGGGTGGGGGACAGGTGGTGGACTGGGGGGGGACTGGTGGGTGGGGGACTGTATGGCGGTCAGCTTTCTCTTAAAATTATAAACATAAGGTGACACCATTATGGACTTAGGGTGACAGTATTATTGATGGAGTGTCACCATTAGTGACTGAGGTGACATTATAAAATATAGATAGGGATTACCTGAAAGGCATAGAATATCTTCAAAATCTCTCCATTGGCAATCTTTAACATTGATTGTTACATTTTTCTTAATTTAGTCTAACTTTAATTTTTTTTTTTTTTTTTTTTTTTTTAGAGCAAATTGAAAAAAAAAAGATTTTTTTCATCGATAAAAAAAAGAACAATAATGATCTGTACCCTTACAATACTATATTTACTATATTTAAATTTAGCAAAGAACAAATTAACAAGAAAACAAAACGTTTCCCCAGGTGATCAAAAAATTTATCACCGCCTACAAGACGACGGTGGAGCTGCTGCTCAAAGAACGGCAAGCCAGTACCGACCAGCAGGTGATTGGTGCCATGTACTCACCCAAGTTCATCAAGGACAGGGACGTGCACATCCAGACCTACACGTGCAGGGACGGGCAGTACGGGCTGGGGGGGTCGGACATTCAGTACTTCTGTCTGGCTTACATGTGTAGGGAGGCGGCGGAGAAGAGGGCCTCGCCCAAGGTGTAACTTTGTTACATGTCTACCATTAAGTGAAACTTTGTTACTGGAGTAAACAAAGATGTAACTTTGTTACAGAACTACCATCAAGTGTAAATTTGTTACATGTCTACAATCAAGGTGTAACTTTGTTACAGGACTAACAAAGTGTAACTTTGTTACAGACGTACCATCATGTGTAACTGTGTAACATGCATAACACAGTTGTAACTTAGTTACTGAGCTACAATCAGCTGTAACTTTGTTACTGAGCTACCATCATGTGTAACTTTGTTACATGGATAACCAAAGAGTAGCTTTATTAGAGGGCCTAACAATGTTTATCTTTATTAAAGAGCTTAAAAAGGATTAGATTTCTCACAATGCTACACACGATGTAGCTTTGTTACAAAACTGTAGCTTTATTAAAAGTCTATCCTAAAGTGTAACTTTCTAACAGAGTTAACACCTAGATTTGACTTTGTTACTGGGCTAAACACTTTGTAGCTTTGTTACTGGGCTAAACACTGTCACTTTGTTACTGCCTACTACCACGGTGTAACTTTGTTACTGGGCTAAGCAAGATTTAACTTTGTCACTAGGCTAAACAAGGTTTAACTTTTTGTCATTAGGCTAAACAAGGTTTAACTTTGTCACTGGGCTAAACAAGGTTTAACTTTTTGGCATTAGGCTAAACAAGGTTTAACTTTGTTACTTGGCTACTACCACGTTTTAACTTTGTAACAATTTTACCACGTTTAATGTTATGTTTACATAACTTTTAGAACCACAAGCTTTACGGGCGAAGTTCTACAAGCATTTAATATTATCCCATTTGTAGAATTTCAAATATTTCGAGGCATAGCTGCGTTAAGTATTTTGTAAATAGGCTACATTTTCGTATTCATTCAAATTTAAAACCAATGTTATCTCAACTTTATGAATGTAATCAAAATTGCTCAGGCATTAGAAGTATTTATTACCATTTCACCAACTCCGCAAGTTTGAAACAGAAAACTACATCAAATATGAATACTTGAAATGTCTAGACCATATGTGACAATTAACATTTTAACTTTGGGCCTTCTCCAAACTATGCAACAGAAACGAAAACAAAAGTTTAAAATTATTTGAGGAAAACTTGTAAAATGGGACAGTATGGAGCGATGGGTTCTCTTTTTGTAAAAACATTTCTGATTGGTCAATTTGATTTAATTGTGGCTTCTTTTAATGGTAATCTGTGTTTTTTTATTTTTATTTGAACTAAACATCATTCATGTGGAATATTTATAATTTATTGACAGCTGCACGATTGTGCGTGTTGCACTGATAATTTTTTTACCTACATTCTTTCAACAGATCTCTCTTACTTTGTGCATTATTTTACCCGCCTGCTTTAATTTTCAAAACTCATAAGGTCGTTTTTCAAAGGAATCCTAATGTGCTTTAGAAGATAATCTATCATTTTTTTCTAACAAGTGCCTATCATGCATATCACATCCAATACAAGGTAACAAGCTTTCAACTAGGATGTTTTGAAAACTTAAGTACACGCTTTATACGTTAAATAGTGCAGATGAAGCAGAGTTCATGTGTTTGTCTTCGCATGTGATTAGTCACTGTGATCAGGTGTATGCCAAGTCGCTTTCACTTCTTCAAGTCCAGGTACTCATTAGAGCTGGGTGGACTCCAATCCTTCTGTTTGACCATAGTTTGCCTTAATTACTTCAGCTAAAAATAGAGTTTTTGTTTATAGATTCAGCAGGGTGACTGGTAGCTCTCGGTGTAAGAGTTGAGATGTGTATAGAAAGTATAAACTAGTACAGATTACCTAGGCATGTTCTGTTCGTAAAGTCTTGAGTTTATAAACTAGTACAGTTCACCTAGGCATGTTCTGTTCATAAAGTCTAGAGTTTATAAACTAGTACAGTTTAACTGGGCCTGTTCTGTCCGTGAAGTTTTGTATTGTAAGCCAATTCAAAAGATGGGGTGTACAAATATCCCGTGTTACCTCTATTTATTTGGACTAGAATATTTGGTGTACTGCCTATTTGCTGTGTTGGGTCATCCCAAATGGCAATGTGTATAAAAAAAAAGAAGTGAAATTCTTTTGCCAAAAATATGCCTTTCTACTGTTTACACTTTTGATCTTTATCAAATATTATGTAAGTGTTGGATTTGATTCTTTTTTACTCGATATTGTTATCAACATTAAAGAATCAACTAATCAAATTGGTAGATCTCTTCCTAGGAGGTCAGCCTCTTGTGTGTATCTAGCTGGTCTCTGTCTAGCTGGTGTCTGTCTAGCTGTTCTCTGTCTAACTGGTCTCTGTCTAGCTGTTCTCTGTCTAACTGGTCTCTGTCTAGCTGTTCTCTGTCTAACTGGTCTCTGTCTAGCTGGTCTCTGTCTAGCTGGTCTCTGTCTAGCTGGTCTCTGTCTATCTAGTTCCCATCTAGCTGGTCTCTGTCTAGCTAGTTCCCATCTAGCTGGTCTCTGTCTAGCTGGTCTCTGTCGAGCTAGTCTCTGTCTAGCTGCTCTGTCTAGCTGGTCTCTGTCTAGCTAGTCTCTGTCTAGCTGGTCTCTGTCTAGCTGGTCTCTGTCTAGCTAGTCTCTGTCTAGCTGGTCTCTGTCTAGCTAGTTCCCATCTAGCTGGTCTCTGTCTAGCTAGTTCCCATCTAGCTGGTCTCTGTCTAGCTAGTTCCCATCTAGCTGGTCTCTGTCTAGCTAGTTCCCATCTAGGCGGTCTCTGTCTAGCTGATTCCTGTTTCTATTGAACAGTTGTCTCCTCACTAACCCCCAATACTCATGTTTCTAAGCCTCTACCCCACCCCTAGGCCTCTACCCCACCCCTAGACTTCTACCCCACCTCTAGGCATATACCCCCACACCCCCACACCCATTCCGCATAACACGCTGGTTAAGAAATGCCAGTAAAGATGTACATTTTTCCCAAAAAATATATTTATTGTATTTTATAAAATTAATAACTACTGTTTCTGAACAGCTTTCTGTGTACAAGTTTGATAAATCTGTGATGTGGGTTTGTTCCTGGTTTGTAGAGGAACATTTGTACAGAACAAAAGTACAGAACAAATGTACAGAATATTGTGTGGGATATTTTTTGCATGGATTTATTTTGATATGATGTTGCGATGTTTTGAGTTAATAAACATGAATTCTTATATTATGGTGCTGGTATTTTTTTTTTTAGAATTGTGTGGTGTTGGTGGTGTTGGGGGATGTGTGTTTAACATTTATTTTCTAAATAGTGAATAACGTTCACTTTATTGTGCTAGTAAAGGACAGATGAAATAGAGTTTGCGGACGTCTCAAGATTTGTGTCTTTTTATGACATCGCGCTCGATTTAAAGAAGCAAAAAAAAAAAAAAAATAAGACAGGAGAGTGTATAAGGGTAGGGAGCTCATTAGGAGGGCAAATAATATGCGGGCATATAAGCAGTGGCGTAGTGAGGTCGGGTGTCACCCGTTGCGACTTAATGGTGTCACCCCCTTAGAGACGTAGCGACTCTTCCCGGGGACAAACTTTCAATTTTCGATTTGCACCCCCTCCTCAAACTTTCGATTTGCACCGCCCTCAAGTTTTTCTCTATATATTTTGCTATTTTTTGCCTTGGTGTCACCCCCCCTAAATGGTGTCACCCGGTACGGTCCGCACCCCTCGCTACGCCTCTGCATATAAGGAGGCGTATTAGAGGAGGGAGCAGTTCGGGGGGGGGGTGCCACATGAGTGAACTTCCTGTTCCCTACACTTAGGTTTCCTTTCATTTTTTAACACACTCCAATATACGTAAATGGCACTTTAATCAGTTTCTGGTTTTTAATTACCAAAAACTTGAGTACTGTTTCAGTTATATGCATGAAATTTCATAAATAGTATTAGATCCTATATGTAGGTTTCTGTCAACTTTTGAGCATTTTCCGGTAACGGAAGTGATACTTTATCTAAAAAAAACACTTATGATTTGATCACATTCTTGCTGCTGTGATCTTAGAAGAATAGAAATGGAATAATAGTCGTTATGACAACATTCAGTTGTATATTAGACTATTGAGAGACACATTACACTGGTGTAAAAAAAAAAAATATTCATTTTGTAATAGGTTACTTCTGTTGGAGCATACACATATGTTTATTGTGAATCCCTAATGCTATGTGTAGACCCCCCCCCCCAACAAATAAATAACTACCCCCCCCCCCCCCGTCAAATTACACACGTCGCACTGTCGACTCTTTCGTACCCAGTTAACACCCGCTTTCCCCCTCCTCCTTCCCCCCCCCCCCCCCATTCCGTATGCACGTCATAAATGGATGACCCCTTTCTAGACTTGACCTCAGCTAAGCAGATACCCGAACCATCGCACACAGAGCCGGCGTTAGGGGGTGGCGAACGGGGCGGTCGCCATAGGCCCCGCGCTTGAAGGGGCCCCGCGCTTCAGCAATGTCATTGTTATCTGAATTAGTTCGTCGTAAACTTAAAAAAAATTGTTGCTGAATTCAATTGGGAAAAACTAAATGGTTGAACGCCGACGTTGTTGATTGTTATAACTGAGGCCACGGTTTATGTTGGTGAGTCTCACCTGAACTGGGACAGGCCGTAATTCGATACAAAAATAGTGTCACGCCTCCCTTTGTGTAGGGTACGGTCGCCTGGCATTTGACCTGAGCTGACTGGAGATGGCGGTCGAGAATTAGCCCACGACGTAAAGAGATACCCTATTGTATGCGGACCGATGAAGACTTCCTTTTAGTGAGCAGACGGGATGTCTATAGTAGACATTTAGTGACCTGATGAACTCTAGTCTTCTTGTTGTAGATGTCGTATAATGTCGTATATGTACAGTGTTTCTTCCAGACTTTTTTCTCCGGGGGGGGGGGGGAGGGGCACTTGTAATTTTCGGGGGGGGGGGGGGCGGTAGACTTTCTTCGGGGGCGGAGGGGGGCGGACACTGTTAAAAGTATATATTTTCTCTATAAATTATATAAATTTCATTTAGTTTTCGGGGGGGGGGGGCGCTTGTCCACCCCCCCCCCCCCCCCCCACCCCCGAAGAGATGCCTGGAAGAAACTCTATAATGTAGGCCTACTTGTCTTGGTATAACAAAATTAACATTCAGTTGCGTGCAGAGGGGTGGGAGGAGGGCGACGAGAAGGGGGGGCTTAGGATCTATATCAGGGGGCACTAAACAGAGTGATTTATTATTATTTTTTGGAAGAAAGTTAAAACTGTTGTTATGTTGTGTCACTTTAAGGATTCACCCGTTCAATAATTAAGACAATAATGATTTTGGTTTTAAAATATTGTATGAATTCTAAACAAATTTTTTGAAGTCTATACTGTTTTGATACATCAGGCCGAGTTCGCTGTATTGTAAACTTTATTTTCCTAATTATTCGGCACGTGATTAAATTTTCTTAAGTGATTTGGTATGAATTACATAACTGTTAAAAGTGATTTAATACCTTAGCAAAGGAAAAAAAACTACGAACATTGGGT